GAGGAGGGCAACCTGAAGTGGAAAGTGGAAAACATTTTTCCCCAAGCATGACAATGAAAACAAGAACAAAAGAGAAAAAAGAAAAATTGTAGTGTATTATCGTTAGAAGACCTCGCCATCAAATGAGAAGGAATTAAGAAAACCTCATAAACCATGGTGACATGATTTGTCGAATTGGAGAAAGAATTAATAATTTTAGAATGATACCTTCATCTAAAGTTGGAGTAAAGCAGCGACAAGCAATATGGATGGATGGAAGGGAGTAGTTTAATTCGTGTATAAGGATAAGAAATGTGACCAGCAGAGAGTGATGAGATTAATCAAGAAGCAAATCGAATGGTGATTTTTTTGGTTGGTTTTATTAGTACTAGCCATTCCAAAAACCAAATAAAAATACCCAGCATTTATTTTGCGCCGATCTGGACCAGCGGTAGGCTAGTACTAGGATACAAGGCTGGCACTGTAGAACGTGCAGGGAGGTGACGCGATGTACACATGTACTGATCAGGTTGGTCGGTGCATGCATGCGTGTGACTGAGCGCGATGGCCCCCTCTTTACAACTCAAAAGGTACGCCTGCCCTCGTGGCCTTGCCAGCCCTCTCCCTTGGCCTTTTTCTCCGTGCATCTCCATACATTTCAAAGAAAATTAAACTCGTAAACACAATAGTTTGGACCATAGCCTCCGTGCATGCGTGGCCACCACCCTAATTTCGATATAGCCATCACCGTACGCAACTTGCTTGCATCTACAGTACGTACTACACTAGTAGTATAGTTTTTGCAATAGTATATCGGCGCAGATTCCCAACCAAGATCAGAATGATGCAGATCAGTGTTTTGATTCCTCGATTTCATTTTACTTTTCTGCGTGACGCGAAAGGGCGGCTTGCTTTTGCATCCTAGCTGTGATTTTTGTGACCATTTTGCCCCTGAGAGCCGCTATATAAGCCTCTCTACCGCAACGCATTGCTTCACACAACACAGCCGATCGCATAGTGTGATCTGATCAGTCGCGCCAAACCGAGCTCTAGCTTCAGGTTGTCGGAGTTCGCACCGATCGACTCAGAACTCTTCACCAATGGCCGCCGTCCAGGTAGAGATCTACCCTGCTCAGTCTGCATTATTATGGTTTTGTTGCGTTTCGATCATGTAGCTTTTGACCTGCTGCCACGGTGCCACCTCGATCTGTGGCACGATCGGCCAGCTTTGCGCATCACCAACCTGATCGCACGTACGCTTCGTACTGTGGTATTTATCTGACATGACATGATGATGTGCATCAATGTAAACGCAGGTCCAAGCCGCAACCCACGCGATGCCCGTCGAGGAGGCTCCGGCTCCGGCGCCGGCGGTGGTGGAGGCAGTCGAGCCGGCCGTCGTCGTTGTCGAGGAGACTACGGTGGCGGTGGAGGTTGTCGAGCCGGCCATCGTCACGGTCGAGGAGACTACGGTGGCAGCGGTGGCGATTGTCGAGCCGGCCGTCGACACAGTTGAGGTGGCAACGGCTGAGGCTGTGGAGCCGGCCGTTGTCGCCGCCGAGGAGGCCGCGAAGGAGGAAGCTGTTGCACCGGCCGTGACCGAGCTGGCGAAAGAACCGGAGGCAGCTCCAGCGGAGACCAAGGAGGCCGAGACAGAGGCCAAAGAGACCGAGCCCGAGGCTGTCCAACCGGCGGCAGCCGCCGAGGAGGCGCCTGCTGTGCCGGCAGTGACTGAGACCAAAGAGCCGGAAGCTGCCCCTGCCGAGGGAACAGAGACCAAAGTAGTGGAGCGTGAGGCAGCACCGGCTGAGGTCGAGACCAAGGAATCAGAGCAAGAAGCTGCTCCAGCTGAGACTGAGACCAAAGAGGCAGAGCCAGCCGCTGCCGAGGCCGAGGCCAAAGAGCCGGTGGCAGAGGAGACACCGGCCGAGGAGGAGGCAGCTGCCCCGGAGGCCGTTGTGGCAGTGCAGGAGGAAGCAGCAACTGCCGAGGCACCAGTGGAGCCTGCCGTCGCCGTCGAGGCAGCACCGGTAGAGACAGAAGCACCAGCTGCTGCTGCTGCCGAGGCAGAGGCGGAGGTCAAAGAGCCCGTAGCAGAGGCACCGGTCCAGGAGGAGGCAGCGCCCGCAGCCACCGCCGCCGAAGCGTCGTCAGTGCAGGAGGAGGCAGCACCGGCCGAGGCACCTGTGGAGGCACCCGCGGCCGCCGAGGCGGTGCCGGCAGAGGCACCAGCTGCTGCCGCCGCCGCCGACAAGGCCACTGAGTGAGTTGATGCGCGCGGGTGCGATCGTGCCCCGTGAGCTAGCCTTTGCCTGGCTGGCTGGCTTCCGTGCGCGTGCCGTGACATGCCATGGCACGCTACCTAGTTCGTTTATTATTGGATCCGTATGTGTGGGCGTATTTCGTGAGTGGTCGTCGTCGTTGTCGTCTGGGTGCATTGTACGTGATGTAGTAGCTGCGTATTAAGTAGGACTGCTGCGTATAATGTCTATCAATATTGTGTCGTATGCTAGTCGTATGTGTGTCGTTCTCGGCGTGATCTCAATAAGGGCTTGTTCGGCTAATTCTCTCCCCAAGAGGATTGGAGGGGATTGGCAAAGATTGGTTTGTATTTTGATTTACAAGAGGTTTAAATCCCCCTCAAACCCCTTCAATCCACTCGGTTTGGCACGCAACCGAACAAGGCCTAATGTGTCTGTGTCTGTGTCTGTGGCGTTCCGGGTCCCACTGTCAGTGATGTCATGGCGTGACTGGCTTTGGAGCCTATTTTTCATCTCTTTTTTTCTTGGTGTTTCCGTTGGTTAATATATATGTGCAGCTATTTATTTGTGTATACTGTGTTGGTACTAAAGAAAGCGTCTGATTTGTGTAATGTCTCACCTGTGCTGTGGGGTTCATGATCCGAGCTGCAATTTTAAATGACAGACTAATCAGAGTGTATTTTTGTTTTCCATACGATCCTTGAAAAGGATTGGGTTCCACTATCAACGATAACAGAAGTCAGAGTATATGTTCGCCACAAATGCAGTTGTGCTCGACTCCTGTTCTGCAGATTACGAGTTGAACATTTGATCCACTAAAAGTTCCGAGGTTTAGAACTCGCATAAACTTGAGATCTCACAACCATGTGTTATTCGAAACTCACAAACAAGAACAACGGAACACGTGCATGATCTACAACAAAAGAGTACATAATCATGATTATATATTAGTATATGGCAACATCAACTCTAATTTTTTTTGCAGCGAAACTACAAAATTCTGTTCATTCATCAGTGAAGTTGTTGGCTTCATCTTGGGAGCTCCTATTCAACACTCTAAGCATTAGCTGCCCCTATAATGCAGGCTAAACCTCGACCTATGTAGCAATTCTTGTGCTTCCTGATTTTTCATTTTTCTGCTCGGTTTTTCATCTAGCCTTTTTTTTAGCTAACTTCTTTAATTGAAAAACTTTCCAAATTTTCAAAAATTCTTATGAAATAAAACATATTCATAGATTTGTATTTTAATGAATTTTCAAAATTGTTGTGGTTTTAAAAACATTTTCATGACCTTTTAAAACATGTTAATGAATTAAAAAAATGTTCATGAATTTGTACAAATACTCGTGGATATAATTTTTTAAAAACCTTTAAGAAAATGTTCATGAATTTTTACAATGTCCACATATTTATACATTCTTATGAATTTTAAAAATTCTCACAAATTTTATATTTTTTGTGAATTTTCAAAAAGGTTCACACCTTTTAAAAATATTATTAATTAAATAAATCATGAATTTAAAAATAAAAAGGAAATAGAAAGAAAAAGAAGAAAAAAACAAACGACAGGAGAAATAAGGAGGAAAACAGAAAGAAATCGGTGAAACAAGGAAACAGAAAAAAGAAAAAAAAACATACTCACATGTGTCCATGTACTTTTTTAGTCGGCCCGACGATTGTCTCAGCCCCGGCGAGCTTGTCGACGAATTGAGTTCGGTGCCCGCAAGGTGTTCGATCAAACTGGGCCTGGAGAGCTAAGCCTTTCCATAGTGCTCAAGTAGCAGCTAGGAAGGATGTGGAGAGTGCATTTGAGATTTTGCAACCCCAGTTTACTATTGTACAAGGACTAGCTCGGTTCTTTAACTAAGAAATCCTTTCGTACATCATAATTGCCGCCGTGATCTTGCCCAACATAGAATCAAAAAAAAAAATCTTACCCAACATGATCATTGAGCATGAGCTTGGTCAAATTTGGATTACTCCTACCATGACTTCATGCGAAGGGTGGTGCATCCGCAAAAAGGGAAGACAACATCAACACTTTCTTCAAGTTCACCTTCGAAATGCGGATACCACTAAAGTCTTAAACATTTATCACAGAGGAGTGATGGACATGGAATAGTCAACAAGACCACTAGCTCTAGTTATATGTTTCGTGTTCGTGTTTGATGCATTTTGTTTTATGATTGATGAACAATTGTGTTGAGATTGGGGTTAAATATTGATGAATTGTGTAATGATTAAGTAATATTTGTGTTTTATCTATGCGGATTAATTTCACATGAATATGATAAAATTTTCAAATTTCTAGTCTCCAACTTTTAGTCTGCTAGAAAAGCGGAAAATTTTCTAGAGACCAAAAACCATTTCTTGCCACCTTTTCTCGCCATCTCTAAAACCAATTTTTGGTCTCCAAATTTTTGGTTTCTTGTTGGAGATGCTCTCACGATATTAGAACAGCTCGCATTTTGGAATAATGATTTTATGGACACATCTTGTATGGAACAATCAAGTGACATGAAGTAATTAAGATAAAGGCTAACATGACACAAGAATCTGATTACTACATGGTTCTCACAATCATCAAAGTTTCACATGCTCCAAGTGAAACCACACCCCTAATTCCTACCAACTAAACTAAACACTGCATTAGCATAAGTAGATAGATTATCAGATGGACAACAAGGTCACGTTTCGCTTGCAGAAAGACCAGGTCAATTCAGCCAGCGCATGCATGTCTGGTCAACATCATTGGATCGATCAGAAGCTCTTGTCAATGCAAACAGTGATGACCATCTCCTTGTCCGCCTGAGGTCCAGTCATCTTGGCCGGCGGCACCGTCAAGAACTCCACCGTCTCCACGGCGACCTCGCCCGGCGCAGCGCTGCTGGTGACTTCACAGTCCAGCGTGATGGCGCGCTCGTTGCTGGCGTGCGCCCAGTGTTTGAGCCCGTACTGCTGACCAGCCTCGCCGTTGGCCCTCACGCACACCACCGAGACGGCCCTGGCCGGCCCGAGCGCGCCGATGGCCAGGAGGAACACGGCCTCGTCCTCCTCCGCCGCGACGAGCAGGACCCGCGGCTCCGACGCCCGCACGCCGAGCCCGAGGTGCGTGCCGTAGCGGATGGTGTGCACGGGCCAGGAGTGCGCGTCGATGAGGTGGGCGAGGAAGCGCCGCGGCGAGTCGACGAAGGCGCAGCCGGGCTCCGTGCAGGAGCAGGGCGCGTGCGGGCACACGCTCTCGTGGTCGCGGGGCTCGTAGTAGGGCACGTAGCTCGGGCAGCCGTGCTGGTGGTAGGCGCACCGGACCCTGGCGGAGCAGACGATGCCGTCCATCACGGGGCACCGGACGTAGGCGCCGCCCTGGTCGCACGAGTGGCACCGCTTGCCGGGGAGCTTGCTCTGGCATCTGCTGCAAGCCGTGTGGCAGCCGGCCGCGCACTGCATGCGTGAACAGATGAAATAAAATCGGGATTACACATGCGAATGCAAGAAACCATTAATCGATCGATCGAACGAACGAACGAACAGGAAGAGAAACCGAAAAAGGCTTTTACCTTCGCGTTTGATACGCAGCGCGTATCTCCACCACTCATACCTTGCCCATGATCGCACATGCACGTGAGAAAACTGGCAAAGGCCCCGCTAGAAGCCAGGGTATTCATGTCAGGTAGTAGGTGCACTGTTGCTAGATTCTTTGCATGTGAACGTTTTATCTCTCCAGCAGAAGTACTAATCCCGGCGATTATCTCTCCAGCCGCCGTTGCTAGAAGTAATTCAAACCCATAAAATTAAAATATGCAGTTGTTTAGATTGTCTGAAAGAACGTTTTTTTAAATAGTTTCAAAGAGAATCAAACTTTGTTAGCTTGGTGTATGAACCTTGCCATAAAAAACAGAAGAATTTTTGAAAAACTCTGGCATAGCTCATAAAATAGTTAGAGAACTTTATGGACTCTTCTTTTGAACTTTATCTTCAAAACTCAAAGAACTTTTATTTTTTATTGTTATTTTCAAAAGTTCTTCTGATTTTATTCCAAAGTTCAAACACATCCTTCATAGAGTTCTGTTGATATTTATACTCGTGATTAGTGGCAAGTTATGCATACCAGATAAAATTGTTATGGATACGATAAAATTAGCAAGTAGACTATTAATTTGTTCACCTAGTTGTAATTAGCAACGTGAGTTACGCACATCAAATAAAATTAATGAGCTGGCCTGCCACCTAAACACATGCATGTGAGGGAAATGGGTATATGACATGCGTGCAGGCCCTAGTGAGAAAAGGATCTAGCATGTGGCCTCACTCTGAGTGGACCCACGATGTCCTGGGCCTGCATGCAGCGCTGATCCAAGTGCAGGGAAGAACGGCATGGATTCCCGCTGCGAATGGAACGCGAATGAGAAAAACCGCATCCGAAGAGAAACCTGGAAGACGGGTGGCCTCAGGCGATCGGAGCAGACGGGGCAGTGGAGCGCGGTCGAGTCGATCTTGATGTCGATCTCCTTTCCGGCGGGGGCTACTTCCGTCGCCACAACTGCACCACCACCACCTCCTCCTCCGTTTGGCTCCTGTACTACTACTGCCACTTCTTGCTTGACATTGGCTGGCACTGGCAGTAGCAGAGGCTCATCCACCCTCGCCTTCTTGACCCTCGCATTCTTGTTGCCGCGCTCCATTTTGATCTAAGCAAAACCACCGGCGGCGATCAGTTGCCACATATAAATGTGAGGATCGAAAGGGAAAACAAAACTGTGGAACCTGCAGCCGCCGGCCGGGGAGCGATGGAATACGAGAAGAAGAAGGGACTTGAGTTGGGAGGCGCAATGCTTGACGACGGCGAGGAGGAACAGAGGCGGAGAACAACAAGGTTGTAATGGTACCAGCGCGCTTTGATGTGAGGAGGCCTCGTGATGTGACATGTGAGGAGCAGACTGCAAAATCTTTTTCTCGGATTTGTCCGTCATGCTGATATCAGGAGATGCTGCCTATACTTCCCTAGCTTACAACTACTCACTCTGTTTCAAAATATAGTGATTCTCTATTCCATGCTTCAATTTTGACTATAAATTTAACCAACAAGACCGACCGCGGCCGGAGCAAAAGTTATACCAGTGAATTCGTATTCAAAAAATGTTTTTAATTATATGTTTTTTCTCCTGTCGCAGTCGGTCTAGTTGGTCAAATTTATGCTCAAAGTTGACCGATCCCTTCTCCCCAAACTTTGCTTCTCCCCCGTCGGCGACGAACCCTAGCTGGAGTAGCTACTCTAAAAAAATGGTCAAAGTTGGACCTCGGGAAGCGTGGGCACACTATATTTTGAAATGAAGGGAGTATGACACTAGGATAAGTCCAAAAGCTAAAGAAATTCCCTGCAGTAATCATTTCATCTGAAGCCTTGTCACCTAGGGAAAAACTTTCTTTTCACACCAACACATTGTTTATGGAGGTAATAGCATCCCAGATTCTAGAACTTGAAGAGAATGTGATGATTTAGTCCAAAAAGCTGCAAAAGTGAACTGAGGCCTCCCACAACTTGCACCTCATATGATGATTTAGTCCGCAGCCAATCACAGCGCGACAAGTGGCACCCTGGAGCTCAGACCGGTCAGCGCTGGCAGTTTTGCACAAAATTGCAATATGTTTCTGATACTTTGCTTTTTTACATAATGACATGGAGTCTATTACTGGATTCTAATCCCTTCTCCACTGTTTAGAGAAAATGTCTGGAATGAAAGTCAACTACTTGAAGAGTGATATTTTCACAGTAGGGTTGAGTGTAGAGGAGGAGCAGAGGGTAGCTGATATAACTGTGAGATAGGAAAATTGCCAATAAAATATAATATCTGGGATAACCAATCAGCAAAGACAAGATCTCTTGTAATGATTTTTTTCATTAAAAGGTAGAAAAGAAGTTGGACTCTTGGCAATGCAAACATTTCTCTTATGGAGGAAGAGATATATTGATCAATACATGTTTATGAAATGTCTCTATATACCTTCTGGGTTGCTACACTTTGCCTGTCAAAATACAGAAAAAAAGTTGACACAATAAGAAATAACTTCTACTGGGAGTAAGAAGAAGAAATTTCACATGGTCAGATGGGAACACATATGCACCCATTATGTATGATTTCTAACAAGTCATTTGCCCGTTCCATTGTTCCGGAAAACAGGGTCTTAGTCATCTTACCCATGAGGAATGGTTCGCATGTGTCAAGTGATTCAAAATCAAGTGACTCCAAAAGTCCATAAGCATGGAGTTTATTCATGCGCTTTACACCAATATGACCTAAGCGGCAGTGCCACAAGAAAGTGGTACTATCATTATCAACTCTACATCTTTTGGCATCAATGTTATGAACATGTGTATCATCACTATCGAGATTTAATAAGTATAAACCCCTCATAATGGGTGCATGACCATAAAAGATATTACCCATATAAATAGAACAACCAGTATTCTCTGATTTAAATGAGTAACCGTCTCTCATTAAACAAGATCCGGATATAATGTTCATGCTCAACGCAGGCACTAAATAACAATTATTCAGGTTCATCACTAATCCCGATGGTAATCAAAGAGCGAGCGTGCCGACGGCAATCACATCAACCTTGGAACCATTTCCCACGCGCATCGTCACTTTGTCCTTTGCCAGCCTCCTTCTATTTCGTAGTTCCTGCTTTGAGTTGAAAATGTGAGCAACTGAACCGGTATCAAATGCCCAGGCACTACAATGAGAGTTGGTAAGGTACACATCAATAACATGTATATCATATATACCTTTGTTGACGTTGGCCCCCTTCTTGTCGGCCAGATACTTGGGGTAGTTCCGCTTCCAGTGGCCAGTTACCTTGCAATAGAAGCACTCAGTTTTCGGCTTGGGTCCAACCTTGGGTTTCTTCAAGGGAGGAGCAACTGCTTTGCCACCCTTCTTGAAGTTTCCCTTCTTTCCCTTGGTCTTCTCTAAACTAGTGGCTTTACTCACCATCAACACTTGATGCTCCTTCTGGATGTCTGACTCAGCGACTTTCAGCATCGCGAATAGCTCGGAGACTGACTTGTTCATCCCTTGCATGTTATATTTCAACACAAAGCTCTTGTAGCTAGGTGGTAGAGATTGAAGAACTCTGTCAGTGACAGCCTTTGGCGGGAGCTCAATTCCCAACTCAGGCAGACGGTTGTAGTACCCAGACATTCTGAGTATGTGCTCACTGACAGACCCGTTCTCCTCCATCTTGCAGGCATAGAACTTATCGAAGGTCTCATACCTCTCGATCCGGGCATTCTTCTCAAAGATAAACTTCAACTCCCGGAACATCTCATATGCTCCATGACGTTTAAAATGCCTTTGAAGTCCCGACTCTAAGCCATACAGCATGGCGCGCTGAACTATTGAGTAGTCATCAACACGCGACTGCCAGACGTTCACGATGTCCACAGTCGCTGGAAGGGGTGGCGCACCAAGCGGTGCATCAAGGACATAAGACTTATGGGAAGCCGTGAGGATAATCCTCATATTACTGGCCCAGTCCAAAAAGTTACTTCCATCAACTTTCAGCTTAGTTGTCTCTAGGAATGCATTGAAATTCAGGGGAGCTACTGCGCGAGCCATTGATCTACAACATAAGTTTGCAAAGATAACATAGACTACTGTTCATGACAAATGAGTTCAATTAATCATATTACCTAAGAACTCCCACTCAAATCAACATCCCTCCGGTTGTCCGGGTGTAACACGATCCAAATTCACCAACCCAAGTCCGATCATCACATGAGATGAGGTGGTTTCAATGGTGAACATCTCCATGTTGATCATATCTACTATATGACTCGTGTTCAACCTTTCGGTCTCTTGCGTTCTGAGGCCATGTCTGTACATTCTAGGCTCGTCAAGTTTAACCCAAGTGTTCCGCATGTGCAAAACTGGCTTGCACCCGTTGTATGCGAACGTAAACTCTATCACACCCGATCATCATGTGGTGGTTTGAAATGACGAACTTTCGCAACGGTGCACACTTGGGGAGAACACAATTTTATCTTGAAATTTTAGTGAGGGATCACCTTATAATTCTACCGTTGTCCTAAGCAAAATAAGATGCATAAAAGGATTAACATCACATGCAAATCATAAGTGACATGATATGGCCATCAACTTGTGCTTTTGATCTCCATCTCCAAAGCACCGGCATGATCTCCATCGTCACCGGCATAACACCATGATCTCTATCATCGTGCCACCATCGGGGTTGCCACGCCAACCATGCTTCTACTACTATTGTTACCGCTTAGTGATAAAGTAAATCATTACATAGAGCTTAATGATTAACATGCATGTCATACAATAATTAAAGACAACCCTATGGCTCCTGCCGGTTGCCATATGCATCGACATGCAAGTCGATATAAACTATTACAAACATGATCATCTCATACATCAAAT